TCTGAGGCATTCTCTGAGTACGTCATCCATTGGAGCCTTCTCCTTGATGTATTCATGGAGCTTGGATGTTTCATCCTGGACAGTGGCTCTCACACTCACTAGTCCCCGGCCTTCCTTTCGTTCGGCTTGCATACAGTCACAGGGTGCTGGATTTGGGATCAATAAAATGCGACTTACCATGTGACTTCCCTGTAGCTCTGACTGAGCTAAGGTGGGAAGCTGGTGCCACACTGTGCGCTGTTGCGTCACTTCCGCCGTAATTTAATAAACGCAATATACCACTCCGTTACATTTATATTTATATTTATATATCGTGTATATATATATATATATATATATATATATAGCCGGGTCTTTGGAAAGACTGGACTGAACACAAAATCATTTTTATGTGGGCTTTATTCTCGACTGAAGAATGAAAAATTGTTCAGCATTAAGATGAAAGACTGAGTTGTTAACTGAATTTTAAAAGCGTTCGAAAAGGGATCTAAGAGATCAAAGAAAATTATCTAACAGATTAAAGACAATTACACCATAATAGACAACAGCAGTGGCTTGCTTAATGGGGAAACAGAAATAAAAATACATTATTTCCAAGCCACAATACTTAATTCAACTTAAAGTGTCGAACAAGTTTTGAGATGCAGACACACTTACTCGATACGTTCCGGTGTGTGGGGTGCATACAAAGCACATGGAAAAACACAAATGATCTCCCCTCTAAAGAACAGATAACACAGTTCATATAATTTCACAGTCCGAAAAAAAACATATTTACACCTTGTAACGTTGCGAACACTTACGCTGTACAGCTGTTCACACGACTCACGAGTGGTAGATTTCAAACTCCAAATCACGATATTGTACTCTACAAATACCATTCAAATAATTAATCACCTGTCCAAAATTAACACTGAACATGCGTCATGGTAAACTAGTTACCAATTACCTGAATATCGCCAGGGTTACGACGATCATGGGTGTATCAAGTTGGGACAAGCAGGAGGCACAGTTCAGCGACTTCCCTCCTTCACGTGCATGTCACCCTCACTTCACTTCCTGGTCTGATTCTCACGCACTCTATATATTCCCGCGTGTTTTGCTCTGGCATGGCTCTTAAAGTGACACTGCTACATTTGTTAAACAAGGCAGCCTTCACTACAAAAGTCTAATTAAGTATACACAGTAAGTATTCCCACCTACGGGCATCTGTCAAACGGAAATTCCCTCACCCGGAATAAAAACCTATGCATTGAAATTTCAACTACGATATTACATTAACAAACGATTCATAACAATGAAAGGTCTGGTACCCGGAACCCAGAAGCCATACAGATGCCCACAGTCACGCAAACTCAAGCAAGTCCCACTCGATACGACGGAATAACTGTGTCCGCACTGCTAGTTACTCTCATTGGATCCAAAATGGCACATGTAAGTGATTCTATTGGCATCAGTTTTACTGGAATCACGAATGATTTTCGATTTCATTCATTTACATTCACGTCCTGTAGATCGTGGCATCCAAAGTAAGAGGAACGGTAATGACCGTGGAAGAGAGAGTGGAATGCATCTGATTAGCTGCTCAGAGTAAATTGCTTGTGTCTCGACTGACAGTGAAGTAAACGAACATTTCCTGGAATGCTTTACCTGTTATCGTGCTAAAAACCTTCCGCTAACTGGACCGCTAATTAGAGAGAAGGTGAGTTCCACAGTGCTAACTATGGGCATCAAGGACTTTGAAGCGTCCCGTGGCTGGCTTCAAAAGTTTGTTGCAAGACGTCAGCTGAGCAAGGCCGTCTTGTATGTTAATCGAGGGGAGGTCAAGTTAGAGACAGTGAGTGAGTGGAAAGAAAAGCTACCAGGTCTGTTACTAGTCTCATTTTGTAGCAAATAGTCCTAATTTTGTGACGTGTCTTGTTATACTGTATTTAGTTCATAAACCTGTAATGTATGCTGCCGTTTTTGTGTTCTAAACAGTTTTTGGACCATACATTTTTGCATTTTATTGCTTGTGTTTTTACACATGTATTTTGTGAACATGCTTGCATGTTCAGAAAGGACATGTATACCCACATCAGGAAATTCTCTTGTACGGAACAATTGGACAACACAAATATGATTCCTGACAAGAGAATATTTAACCTGTGTGTGTGTGTGTAGATATATATATAGATAGAGATATAAATAGAATATATATGTTTAGTAATGATCCATCTGTTACAATGCCACATGTTCGCTATCATTCACTTACCATTCTATTCTCTATTCCAAAGGATAGCAAATTTGTTTGTTTGTTTTTCAATGCATTCTTGGTCAAAGCAATAAAACAGAGTTTGTCATACAGTTTTCTTGCTAGTTGCAAGTAACTGTCCCGTTGATCACCGATGTCTGGTAATTCTTGTGCATACTGAAGGATTTTTGTTGCCATTTGCATTGTTTTCTTGCTGGATGGTTGCTTGTCATCAGGAGTTGAATCGATGCCTTGTTTTTTAAAGTTTCGTGGATTTGCGTCTTTCCGACTCCCAAGTGTCTGCTGGATGTTTTTTACTTTGTGTCCAGCCTCGCTCAAACGGATGCATTTTACTCGCTCCGCTACAGTCATTACAGTTCCTCTACGTTTCGATGCCATGATCTACACGACGTAAGTAAATATAGGTGAAAATCTTTTGCAATTACAGTAAGACGCACGCCAATAAAAAGTCACTTACACGTCATCGTTTTGAATCTGATGAATGAAAACGGCGAAGCGAACACGTTTCTTCTGTCATGATGATTGGGTGATGCTTTTCAGCTAGTGCCGTGTTCTACAGGACGTAAGTGAATTAAGTTAAAATCATTCACAATTACAGTAAAACGCACGGCAATAAAAACTCACTAACGTCGTCGTTTCGAATCTGATGATCGAAAAAACGCGAAGTGAAAACGTGTCTCAGCGTCGTGTCTTTTCCGTCGCATCGGGTGGGCGTTGCATGTATTTCAGCTCCCGCGGCATTACGCCTCCATCCGGGTTACGGGTAGTGGAATTTCCGCTGACGGAAGTTCCGGTAACACGTAATATCGTAGTCAAAATGTTAATGCACAGGTTTTTATTACGGGTGAAGGATAATCCTTTTCATAGAATTTCGGGGATGGGAATATTTACTGTGTGTATATATATATATATGTGTATATATATATACATAAATAAATAAGTCCTCGTCTCACCCCTCAGGTGGTGTCCGTCCCCCATTCAGCTCGGGTCCTATATGTCATGATTCGGTTTGGGACCAACAGGTGGCACTGTAGGGCTCGCCTGCAGCTGCACACCTGTTGGTCGTTGGGTAATTAGTTGTATAAAAGGACTCCCGCCCGAACATTCATTGTCGGGTCATTGTTGCTATTTGCTTGTTGCTTGCTACTGTCATGTTTGTTCTCAGTCATGTTTCGGTTATTGTTAGTTTTTGCTTCAGTCATGGTTTTGTTTTCTACTTTGGATTCTTTTTGTTTTCAGGACTTTCTTTGTTTAGGATTTCATTTTCTCTGTGTTTTATCAATACACTTCAAGTACAACCTGCTCCTCCCTCTTGCCTGCTTTTTGGGGTCCACCACCACCTCGCAACATGACACTCTACAAGAGAACAGGAAGCTTGAGGGTTCTGCGCAGTATCCTTGCTGTTCCCAGCACTGCACATTTCTGGACTGAGATGAACGATGTTGTTCCCGGGATCTGTTGCAACCACGCATCTAGTTTGGGGGTCACTGCCCGAGTGCTCCGACCACCACAGGCACGACTGTCAGCTTTACCTTCGAGGCTCTCTCCAACTCCTCTCTGAGCTCTTGGTATTTCTCGAGTTTCTCGTGTTCCTTCTTTCTGATGTTTCCATCATTTGGGACCGCTACATCCACTACAACGGCTTTCCTCTGCCCTTTATCTATGATCACGATATCTGGTTGGTTCGCCGTGACCATCTGGTCAGTCTGGATCTGGAAATCCCACAGGATCTTCGCTGTGTCATTCTCCATCACCTTCGGAGGTGTTTCCAATTTTGACCTTGGGGTTTCCAGTCCATACTCCGCACAGATGTTTCGGTAGGCTATGCCAGCCACCTGGTTATGGCGTTCCATGTAGGCTTTCCCTGCCAGCATCTTACACCCTGCAGTTATGTGTTGGATCGTCTCAGGTGCCTCTCTGCACAACCTTCACCTTGGGTCTTGTCTGGTGTGGTATATCTGGGCCTCAATGGCTCTGGTGCTCAGGGCCTGCTCCTGAGCAGCCAGAACGAGTGCCTCTGTGCTGTCCTTCAGGCCAGCCCTCTCTAGCCACTGATAGGACTTCTTGAGATCAGCCACTTCAGTTATGGTCCGGAGATACATCCCGTGTAGGCGCTTGTCCTCCCATGATGGTGCCTCTTCCAGCACCTCATCCTCTGTTCCCCATACTCTGAGACATTCTTTGAGTACATCATACGTTGGAGCCTTCTCCTTGATGTATTCACGGAGCTTGGATGGTTCATCCTGGACAGTGGTTCGAACACTCACTAGTCCCCGGCCTCCTTCCTTTCAGCTTGCATACAATCTCAGGGTGCTTGCTGTATTTGGGATGGAACCCTGCATGCATGAAGAGGAACTTTCAGGTCTTAATGTCCGTGGTCTGAATCTCTTCCTTTGGTCACCTTATTATTCCTGCAGGGTATCTGATCACTGGCAGGGCATAGCTGTTTATTGCCCGGGTCTTATTCTTGCCACTGAGCTGGCTTCTTTGGACTTGCCTCACCCGCAGGAGGTATTTGGCCGTAGTCGCTTTCCTTGTTGCCAGTTCGAGGTTGCCATTGGCTTGTGGTATACTGAGGTACTTGTAGCTGTCCTCAATGTCTGCTATTGTCCCTTCAGGGAGTGAGACACCTTCAGTGCGGACTACCTTGCTTCTCTTAGTCACCATCCGACCACATTTCTCAAGCCCGAATGACATCCCGATGTCACTGCTGTAAATCCTGGTTTTGTGGATCAGGGAGTCTATGTCCCTTTCGTTCTTAGCATCCAGCTTTATGTCATCCATGTAGAGGAGGTGACGGATCGTAGCTCCATTTCTGAGGCAGTATCCAGAGCCTGTCTTGGCGATTACTTGGCTTAGGGGGTTCAGCCCTATGCAGAACAGCAGTGGGGAGAGTGCATCACCTTGGTATATGCCACATTTGATGGACACTTGGGTAAGTGGTTTGCCATTGGCTTCAAGTGTGGTTTTCCACATCCCCATCAAGTTCGCAACGAAGGCTCTTAGGGTCCGGTTCACCTTATACAACTCCAAGCATTCAGTGATCCATGTATGTGGCATCGAGTCATAGGCTTTCTTGTAATCAATCCAGGATGTGCACAGGTTGGTATGTCGGGACCTGCAGTCTTGTGCGACTGTTCTGTCAACCAGGAGCTGATTTTTGGCTCCTCTGGTATCTCTACCAATGTCCTTCTGTGCTTCGCTCATGTACTGATCCATGTGTCCACTTATCTGAGCCGCAATGATGCCTGACATGAGATCCATGTTGTGGAGAGACAGATTATTGGCCGATAGTTGGATGGGACTGCACCCTTTGAGGGATCCTTCGTGATCAGGATAGTTCGCCCTTTGGTGAGCCATCCTGGGTGAGTCTCATCCCTCAGCAACTGGTTCATTTGTGCTGCTAGGCACTCATGGAGTGCTGTGAGTTTCTTTCGCTAGTAGGTGTGGACCATGTCCGGGCCTGGTGCTGTCCAGCTTTTCACATCTGAGACTCTTTCCTCTATTTCTGCCACTGTTATGGTAACTGGGTTCATTTCAGGGAAGTTGCTGTGCTCCTCTCTCAGAGTCATCAGCCATTGTGCTCTGCTGTGATGTGCAACCTCCTTCTCCCATATGCCTTTCCAGGACCCTGCCACTGAGTGTACACTTTCACAGGTTGTGTTGCGAACAGCCCTTTTATTCGTATGGCCTCATTTTCTTTCGTGTACCACTTTAGACGGTTGGACGAGACTTGGAGCCTTTGTTTGGCAGTTTCGAGTGTTTCAGGTATGGTCATCTGGATGTACCTCTCTGGAATCGGCCTTTTCATCACATCTCTCTGGGCCTCCGTCAATTGACTCACATCTTTCCAAGCCGCCTTGATCTTAGCCTCCAACCGTCTTTTCCATGGTGGGTAACGTATCTCATGGCTCCCATGGTTGC